CAGTATATACTGTTTGAAGATACCATTTACTAACATGCATGGTCTTAACCCGGGAAAAATATACGAGTGCATGGAGAGAGCATGCAAACTTCAGGATTCAATCCTGCAACTTTCCTGCTGAGGCGACAGCTCTAACCACTGCACCACCGTGCTTGATAGATGGATGAATGTGTCGAATATTTTGTGGTTGATTAACTTAATTTTAGCTACAGTCTTTTAGCTTATACATTAAACAGTAAGAGAATCAACAAGTCTCTATTTAACACGTGCCTCACTCCAGCAGCAGAAACACTAAATATTTTACATTTCAGGAATATAGAACTGTTTTAAGGGCACTTCTTTGTTTCAGGGGTATGACATCATCTTTGGGGGTGTGGCCAAGTTTTCTATAAAACATTGTGAGAACACGTGATGGGTGGCCATTTTGTCTGTCTTATCTCAGCTCGGAGTGAAATAAAAATAAACATATAGCTAAGAACTTCATTTTTCTGCGAGTGATTTGGGCTTCCAATCTGAACAATTTTTASATATGAATAACCATTTGCTAACTTTAGCATTTTGGCCCTTTAGCTTTTAGTGCTTTTAGTTTTCTTCAGCAAAGTTAACCAGCACTCAGCATTCTTCCCAGTTAAAACTTTTAAAGCATAAAATTTAACCTACATAAAAAAACATCTCAAACTGGAAGGGATACAATTATTATATTTTATTGTATTTCTGGTTATTTGGCGAAAGAATAAGGCGTTCTAGTTCTCAAATGAAAAAAGAAAAGATACCATCTGTCAAAACCTGCCTCTGCCTCGACAGCTCCCGCCCTGTTAGAGAGAAATAACTCCCTTTATGCTTTTGAAAAATGGCAGGAGAATCCAATGCATGCAAAAGCAACTTGACTCGGATGCCGCTTTATAAATTGAGCAAAAGCTCTGTGATCTCCGCGAAGATAAATCATGCCTCGTTCTGCAGCAAAAAAAAGAAACTTATTGCCCTGTTTCATGTTTTAACACAACAAACGTCTCTAAAGAGGTAGCCTTGGCTGCGTGCGGTGCATACGAGTACTGTGGAGGAATGCGTTGGATCGAGATGAACAGTTCTGTCACACAACGGGAACTAAACGAAACCGATGTCAGCACATCCTCCATCAAAGTCAAGATTTGCATGATGAGCGTCGGTGTAGTGTCATGCAAATGCCTTATCAGGGACTGGGTCGGGTCCATGTCTTGTAGATTTAACTGCCTCTCTGTACCCCATAGGCTGGTGGAGAAATGAGGCGTGCTCAGTGTGAAATGTTGTGTCGCTAATGAGGCTGCTCAGGTATCCTATTGTGCTCAGAGAGAGAGAGAGACCACACTATCAGACTGCAGTTAAGTCTGGTCCCTGTTCTCGACACTCAGTACTTACACTCAAAATGTCATTGAATGATTGTTAGATAGCAAAGATAACTTAAAGGGATCCCCGATTAGTTGTAACATTAGTCTTTATTTGATAAATATATATATTTTAACTGTAAAA